GAGCATCATAGAATGCCAATTTAATAGAAGAAAGTATTCTTGCATTGAGGGAGTACTTGAGTGGAGGCCCAATGTCCTTCTGCTACTTTATTACTAAACCTATAATATATGCACATAGATCTGTTTCCTCATCCTCTTATATAAATTTATTTGCATATGTACATGCCTTTATTTAGACCTCTATAAATGTCCTTTGGCTCCTAGCTCTTTCCTCTATTTCCTTTGACTTTACTCTTTTGTCCTATTATCATGCTCAGTCTTCCTTTGGGTTTCAGTAATTCCTCTTGGTTACATTACCCTTGATCACACCCTACCAGGCTTCCTATACCCTCCTCACCACCGATTTGGATCACTTGTTGTTCCCTTGTCCCTGGGTTTGTTAACACCACTACCTTTCTTCCCACCTCCCTATCTCCCATGTCCCCCCGGAACTGTCGGTCCTGTTGTTTTCTCCTTCAGATTGTTCATACAGCCTATCTTATTTAGACAGACCTGCGGAGATAATAACATGCACCGAAACAAGGCAGAGCAAAACCAAGCAACAATATTCAACAAAACAACAACAATAAACTAATGACAAAAACCAAAACAAAACACAACAAGAAAAAAAAGTTTATAATTAGTTCAAGAACTGTTTGTTGCCCTTTAGGAGTGCTTTCCAGTCCAGTCTGTTGGGGCACTACGCCCTGGCCCTAAAGTCTACCTTCAGCATTCCCTGGGGACCGTGCCGCTTCGTTCCCTTGCTGTTGTTTTGCACCCCCTTATCGTTTTGCCTTGGTGTGTCAGGATCCGATCGGGCACAATTCCCATAATGTGTCTCTGGTGTTGTCTCCTATAGGGCTATGGGTCAGTGAGGGGCATCATGTCTTATAATGGGGCCGGCCATGGGGTCCTCTCTGGACTGGCTGCGCTAATTGGGAACATTGTCCTCAAGGCCTAGTGGGCCAGGATGCGCTCCACTCTCTCCTCCTTCCCCCTTCATCGGCTCCAGTGTGCTCAGATCAGATATGTCCGTCTCCCGGAGCTGCAGATTCAATGCCGTCCTTTGAAATAAATATTCGGGGTGGGGTGGGGGTGGCAGGTGTCCATGAAGTGTTTGGGATTGGGGCCAGCCCCTCCATTATCTTTTAACTCCATTATCCATGAACCTTTTGAAGTTTGCTCATAAATTGACTAAATAAAGTGAGCAGCATTATCCTACCATATACCTTTTGTCCTGTTCTCTTCAGACAACTACCTCTTGACCCATATACAGGTTTGAGCTAATTAAGGCACAGTGTTATCTGTAATTTGTTATGATACAAATAGTTAAATACCTTCCCAAGTCGCTAAAACACAAGTAAACATTTTTCCTGATACTCTCTTCTTTTGGCCAAGATCCATTTGACATCAGTAGGTATATCCATTGTTCTACAGCCTCTTATGAATCCAGCTTATATAATAGTCATCAAACCACAGGCTAATAAATGTCCTCCACAATTCAGATACTAGATATTTAAATTTCCGCATTAAAAATAGAAATTAAAGCAATAACAATAGCTTGTGCCACTGAGAGACAAAATATATATGTTGTTTAATGACAACCAAGAAAGTATTATCCACACAACCAAATACCTTGAGTAATAAACTACTCCTATGCTCTCTAATTTTTGAAACATCAGGAATGTTCACCTGCTTGTTTTTTGTCAAATATTCTTGTCAGGTTTTTAAAACCCTTGTCCAACCCAGATGACTTCCTAGGTTTTTTAAGCCGGCATTCTTATCCTAACTTTCGTAGGTCTGAGGCCTCCTACTTTTATGCAGTTCCACTACAGCATGCAGTTGTGATCTCAGTTGTAACCCCCTGACTTTCCATGCTGTAAAGATCTAGTTTACCTAAATCTTTTACTCCATTAAATCTACTAGGAAGTAGCCAGGATATTAGAAACAAGGATGGCAAGTTTCTCTCTCATATATTTGGACTTATTATCAGGAGAGACTGTTACCTGGAGAAGGATATTACACTTGGTAAAGTAGTACATCAGGGAAAAGATGAAGACCCTTGACAAGAGAGATTGCCATACTTGCTGTACTGATGGGTTCAAATATTCTGTGAGGATGGCACAGGACTAGACAGTGTTTTACTCTCTTATATATGGTACGTAACAGATTTCTCTTAAAAACAAGAAAAAGACATTTCGGTCCCTGAGATATGTTCCCAAATATTTTATTAGTAACTTTTCCAATCAATGGATATAAAATATTACCAAATGCCCCTTCAATTCAGCTAAAATTTGCTCTACCTTCTTCTTATCTTCAACCCATCTGTATTTTCACAACCTCTTTTCCACAATAGTAGCCTTGTTTCTCTGAAGCATGATCTCAACCTCAGCCCCTTTGTTGACAAAATTTGCTCTTCCACTATGGTGTATTAATTTGTTATTCACTGTCTTAGCTATCTATTGCTATAACAGACATATCACAGTTGGATGGATATGACTGCTCACTGAGGCTTGGGCAGCCCCCTCATCTCTTTGACCAGTTATACCAAAGGCATCACACTCTGGAGTCAGTTTGATTACACAATACATTTTTCTCAAGGTTATACATTGTTTATTATGGTCCACACAGTTGAATGCACTTATCTAGTCAATGAAACACCATTAAACATCTTTCTGGTATTCTCTCCGTTGAGACAAGATCCATCTGATATCAGAAATTATATCCCTTGTTCCACTGCCTCATCTGAATCTCATCGGAACTTCTGGCACTTCCTTGTGAAGGTACTTCTGCAACTGTTGTTGGATGATATTAAGCAAAAATTTACTTGTGAGCCTTATCAGTGATATTGTTCAATAGTTTGAGCATTCTGTTGGGTCACCTTTGTTTGGAATGGGCACAAATATGGATCTCTTCCTGTCAATGGACCAAGTAACTCTTTTCCAGATTTTCTGGCATAGACGATTAAGTCCTTCCATTGCTTCTTCAGCTTTAAGAAACATTTTAGTTAGTATCCCATCAATTCCTGGAGCCTTATTTGTGGCTAATGCACTCAGAGCAGTTCGAATTTCTATCTTCAGCATCATTGGTCCTTGATCATGAATGCTACCTCCTGAAATGGTGGACTGTTAACTAGTTCATTTGGTACAGTGACTGTTTTTCCCTCTTAATGCTTTCTGCATAATTCAATATTTTGCCCATAGAAACTTTCAGCACAATCTAAAGGAATGACGTATGACAAACTGACAGACAGGTGGTGGTAATTAATTATCAATGACTAGGGAAGAGAAAAGAAGAATAAATTTATTTGAATTGTGGTGTTTACAAAGACTATGGTGTTTACAAAGACAAGAATTAACATCTGTATTATGGGAAGTATAGCGAGAATATTCCTTAGAAGCAAGGATAATACAAAAATAAATTCCTTTAAGATTTGTTCAAGATTGGCCCCAAGGAAGTAGAGGTTAGAATGTCCCAAAATATTACTCTACTACTTCATAACCCCTGATGTCAGTTGGCACTCATCTCCTCAGTTTTGTTCCTCATGTTTCAGAGTTCTGCAATTTGCTTCTGGTAAATATCAAATTGAAAGTTCAGATGTCCATCTGAAGGATACTTTTGTTTACAAGACTGCAGTAGCTGGTAAATCAGGTCAGCTGATAGGTCAAAACTCAGCCCCAAGGGCCAGAAGTCAGACAGAGGAAGACAGGTGAAGGCTCGAAAGCAGGAGAGAGAACTTTACCGAAGTTGCTTAGCACAAATACAGTGATCCATGCTTAGCTGCAAACAGATGCATGCTGGGACCCTGTCAAGATGGCTACCTTAGTCCATGGTCTTTTGATGTCAAAAGTTTAGGTGGAGGACACACTGACTGCTTCTGTGCGTCTTAGTTGGGCTAGTCTCAGTCTGTTCCCTGATCCAACGATCCTGTTTTCTTCATTAAGTGTGCAGCTGGTGGTTTGTCTATAAAGGGAATTGCCTGAAACCGCAAGTTCATTCTTGTTTTAATATAGATATCAAAGATAAACTCTCCCAGCCCCCCTTCATTATTGTCTGAATACAGGTTTAAGTTAGTTACTCAGAATGCAACAGGAATAAACTTCAAATGGAACTTCGTATTCTTTTTTCACTAGTATCTTAATTTTTGAAAGGCAATATTGAAGCATGTTTTTTAGCACATGTACAGCTCTGTGATGCTACATTTGTGTGGGCAGACACTTATGTATTAAGGTTTATCAGAGACTGAAGTGGCACCTTCTTTTACCTCTTACTTAGCATTTGTCCTACGGGAACAGCAGCTTGCATGTGGATGCTGCCTTCCAGCAAACTCTCTGGAGTGTGGCCCCAATCAGCTCAGGAAGTGAAGCTGCCCAAGGTAAAACCACCACTCTAATTGGAGGAAGATTCCTTGATGAAGAGTGGTGAAACATTTTTAGAATTGTGATAATGAGCTACTTAAGTAAGGCTGGTTTTCATCAAAATGTTCTGTCATGCACACACGAGACCTAAAATCCCATTTAAATTGTTTTATAAAGTGACTTTTGTATTAAGATTTGTCTTCCTTAATTTTATGCTACTCTAGATTTTAGGGTATTCTATATGTTTTGGGTTCACTTCTAGGGATTGTTTTTGACAAAATTTTGGCTGGAGGGCATTTCACAGATGAATGCCAATATTTCTGATTCTGTGGTCTTGGCTGTAGCGATGCAGCACAACAAAATTTGTACAGTGGAGTATCAGGCAAATCTTTGCATTTGTTCTGGTTTTTCTAATTTAAATCAATTGGATTATGTAAATTAATGCTCATGCTGAGGCTATTTATGTAGAGTTGAACTGTGTACCATTGAGTGTTCATTGGATTATTTTTCAGTAGTTGATTGCCAGGTCTTCTGAGATACCCAAGGATCGATGCAAATCTCCAAACTTGCAGTTTGCAGCTAACATGTAAACCATTTGCACCACCAAGGACCTCCTTATTTTATAAAATTCTCCACTAAATTATAAACATGCATGGTATTATGTTTGAATCTACCTGTTCTAAAACATAAATATATTAAAATTGGAGCCCATATATAATTATATTTCTAATGAGGGGTTTATGGCAGTTGAGGTTCTGATTCAGATGCTGTATCTGGAACCTTCTAATGCTGTGACCTTGGCAAATGAATTAAGCTTTGCTAGATTACTCTATGTCTGTCTATGAAAAGAAAAAATGAGACTATAGGGCCTACAGCTATGATAATAAATGACTCTGCTTCTTCCAGGGTATCTGATTGGTGGTGATGTTCTCCGGCTCCTTCATGGACATATGGATGAATGCCTCACAGTTCCTGCAGGGGACCATGGAGAAGAGCAGCGAAGGTAGGCACTGAAGCCCAGGGCATTACACCTTATGTGTTTAAATCTTGGTGTGATTTTTAAATTATAGCTAGCTCTGAGCATAATAGAAAATAGGCCATGCATGTTCTTCAGTGAAGTAGTTTATTTACTTACTTAAAAGTTCTCCCTCAATATCATGTGCTCAAGTGGGAAGAGAATGCTTTGAAAATGATGATAGCAGTATATGTACAAATGTGCTTGACACACTTGATGAATGTATGGTTTGTGATAAGAGATGTAAGAGCCCCCAATAAAAGTATTAAAAAAAAAAAAGCTCAGACGAGAGTACTGGGTTACGGCAAGCATTCAGAAGACTACTATAATTTACAACAGCTTTTGCATGCATTAATTTTTTGGCTTTAAAATAGTTTGCTATAAAACAATGAAAATAATTTTGAAAATGTCTGCAGATGTTATTTGATAACAAATGTTATTACTAATACAATTTAAAAATATGTATTAAGTAATACTCTTGTTGATAGATGCCATTGAGTTGGTTCCAATCCACAGCAACCTTCTGTACAGAAGAAAAAAACACTGACTAATCCTGCACCTTTCTCAGAGTTGTTCTTATGTTTGAGCCAATTTTTGGAGTTAGTGTGTGTTAGTCTGGATAGACTAGAGAAACAAACCCATGGACACATATGTGAATAAGAAAGAGATTTATATACAAGAGCAATTGAACATTGAGAAAACATCCCAGCCCAGTCCAGATCAAGTCCATAAGTCCAATATTAGCCCATATGTCTGATACCAATCCATAAAGCCCTCTTCAGACTCACAAAACACATGAAATAACGCCAAATGTAGAAGATCATAGGCCAGTGGGTAGAAAGTCTTTGGATCCAGTAGCATTGGAAAGATCTCAGCACTGGCAGGGGTCTCTGCATGGCGTCTCCAGCACCCATGGCTGCATCAGGGTGGGTCCATGAGTCTTGTCAGCTGCTCTGTCTCCCAGAATGTGAGCAGAGAGTCTCCTCCCTCCAAGGAGGAAACAACGGAATTCACAGAATTCTCAGGAAAAGGCCATGCCCACACAGAGGCCTCATTGGCTATGATTTGATTAACTGGCTAGACTCTAACCCTACACGCTTAATCTTTAAATTGACAATTATATTACTAGCACAGTGTGGCAATCCATCTTGTAAAGGGTCATCCTCTTTTTCATTGCTCCTCTATTTAACCAAACATGATGTCCGTCTCCAGGCACTGACCTCTCCCGATAACATGTCCAAAGTCCATATGATGAGAGTTTGGCCATCCTTGCTTCTGAGGAGCATTCTGATTGGACTTCTTGCAAGAGAGAGAGAGATTTGTTCTTTTGGCAGTCCAAAGCACTTTCTGTATTCCTTAAAAACACCATAATTTAAATACACAAAATATTTTCTTTCAGTGATATTTCTGTTTTCCAGTGAAAATACACATTCTTAAGTGAAATTATTCATCCAGATTTATTATTTTAAGCTCATTTGCAATAACTAATACTTCCTACCTCCCCTGACATGACTTTATTTCTGTATAAATTTAACCCTGAGTGTGTATCATACCAATGTCAGAGCTCTTTCTAAAGCAGTACATTTTGGTTAATTAAAAAAATACTGCAAAATTATTTGATTTTGAGGTGGTGATCTTAAAGCTACATAAGTTATAGAGAAATATGGAATATTTTCTTTTGCCTCATAGCTCTTTGTTCTCATTATGAGTTTGCTATGCTCATTCATTGTATCTTGTCATTAAAGTTAAATAACTAAAATCAAATCAGATTTCTTAGTATGCATAAATAAGGAAGTAGTATAAATGAATTGAGCAGATAGGAAGGGGTTATAGTGTCTTCATAACATTTTAAGAACATTTTATAAATGCTGTGTTCCTAAGTGAATTTCTTAACCTGCGCATACCTGGTCCAATTAATGATTAGTAGATAAATACGTACATGGACACATAATATAATACATTATGTATATATTATATATTATGTAGTATATTTATAATATTGTTATGTGTATGTATATATACACACATGTATATGTATATATTTACACACACAATACACATGTACATATATGATTTACATATAGTATATAATATTGTGAGTATGTATACACACATATACATAATACATTAGATACTATTGTTGTGTATATAATATTATATTTTGCATATATATTATTACTATAAATTATTGCTTATATAACATACTTTATATATTATATATTACTTCTATAACATAATGTATTATATATTGCTTATATAACATACAACCATATTATGATATATAATATTGTTAGTGGCTCTCAGGTCAGTTCCACCTCATGGCTATGCAGAGTAGAACTATTCTGTAGGGCCTCACATAAGCTATCTTTCAGAAGTACATCACTAGAGATGTCTTCTGAGATCTCTAGATGGGTTTGAACCCAACTTTCTGACTAGTGGTAGAGCACTTAACAATTTGCATCATCCAGGGAACTTCAGTCAATATATAACAAAGCTGATTTTTAAAATTTTCTCATATTTCATTTTGTTATTTCTTCAACCACTTACTGATTCTAAAAAAATTCCACCAGTCTCCTTTTTACAATTTGATTTGGTCTAGAGCCACATTTTCCAGGTATGATTGGGCTAGAAAGGTGTACTTTTGGAATTTTAGACTTAGGTAAAGGATAGAAATAGCTAGAGATTTGAACCCTTGGATTTCCGTAAAAATGAAGTAATGATTAAGGTGTTTGATTCAGCTGATGTAAGGTGAATTGGAGAAAAGAAAAAAAAAGTCAACATTAAAAGAAATAAGTCTAATGAATTTCTCCATTAAAATTTAACATACTTTTCCACATTTGGTTTAGTTACTGGATCTAAATCTAATCAAGTTAAATCTAGACACATAGACTAATTCAAGAAAAAAAAGGAAAAAATTCTCTTTTTAAAATTTCCAACTGCCTTTGTTGTATTTTGTCTGGGGTGAAAGTAAAAGTAACAACATAAATTTTGTTAGTTTTTTGTTCTACTCATATCTATATCTATCTATCATATATCTATCTATCTAATGTTTATATTATTCCTTTACTGTGGATTGAAACATTAGAATATTGTTTTCAATCCATGCTCAGTCATTTACATTTTATACTGATCTATCCTTATAAAACATATCTATTTTCCCTTTACAATTACTTAATTAGAGCTATTGTAGCAAACGGAACCCCTAAATAAATATGCATTGTTTCTTCATGTGCTTTTTAGGCATTTGTTTTTTTATTTTCCTAGTCCTTTTAAGTGATGTTCAACAGCTTGCTTTAGCCCCTGCCCATGACTCAGCAGCTCAGTCAAAGACTGTTAGGCACTGACATTGGAATATGGATTTTATACTGTGAGAATGCAAAAATTGAAACACATACTTTCACTCTGATATAATTTTTCCCTATGCTTACTTCAATTTAAGTAGAGGAGAATGAAACTTTCTTCTAATTATAATTGAGAAATTTTTATGTTTAGTGAGTTTGTTAGCCACATTTACTAGAGAAACAAATCCAGAGATACTCTATGTGTAAGAAAGAGCTTTATTTCAGGAAGTAATTCTATAACAAGAAAACATCCACGCCCAGTCTAATTCAAGTCCTTTAGTCTGATAATAGTCAATAAGTCCCTCTTCAGACTATGCAACCAAATGTAATGATGCAGAATGCAGAAAGATCACAAGCCAGTAAGTGCAGAGTCTGTGGTCATGGAAACATGGTGGGTAACCAGCAAGCAGGAAGGTGAAGGCAGAGAGGGAGAAGAGAGAGATCTTCAGAGAGCTATATATTTGAATCACACCTTCAAGGGAAGCCAGTAGGCTGTGATCTGATTGACAGGCTAATCTCCATTCATATCTTCTTACAAGTGCCATGTTGGCACAAAAAAAACTGTCACATTAAGGGGGTCTTATGATTATTGAAGAACATTTACGTCTCAGGAACTTTGGTATATTGGGTGTAAAGAACAAGACTCAGATTCCAACCTGACTATTAAAATAGAAGTACTGTAGTCAGCAAGAAATAAATGTAAATCTGGGAGAAACGATTCACAATCTTAAGAAAAATAAGGTAGGGGAATTGTAGAAAACATTCCTTACAATTTTTCTAACAGATGATGAATATTAGTTAAGGTAGGAATCTTTGTTGAGTTTTGTTTTGTTTTGTATTGACAATTTGTCATTCTGTTTTAAGCAAAACAAACCAAAGAGCTGCTGTTGAGTTGATTCAGAGTAGAACGCCATAGGGCTTTCTTTCTTTATTTTTCTGTTATTTGTTTTCAGACTTGAATTTCATTTCTTTCAGTCGGAGGAAGGAGTGATTTTCATAGGAGAAAATTGCTTAGTATTCCCATGTATGTGTGTGTGTGTGTACCATAGTTTATTTATCTGTTCTTCCATTGATGAGCACGTAGTGTTCCATCTTTGTATTAGTGTGATGAACATAACTATGTATGTATCTGTTAGTGTTGCAGGGTTTTTTTCTCTCTAGGAAATATACCAAGCAGAAGGATTCCTGTACCATATGGTATTTCTGTTGTCTACAGTGGTTGCACCATTTTACAGTTTCGTCAGGTTCTATTCTCGCCACTCTCTCAACAAGAATATATTTTGTTTTCTTTTTGAACTTTGTTTTTAATACTGAGATTAGATATCTTTGTTGTTTTGATTTACATCTCTCTAATGATTATCATGACGTTCATATGATGTTGGCCACTTGAAGTCTTCTTGGGTGAGGTGTCTGTTAGTATCCTCTGCCCATTCTTACATTGAATTGTCTTTTTCTTGTTGAGTTGTTGAAACTTTCTATAAATTTTAGAGATCAGTCCTTGCCTGGTATATCATTGCAACCATGTTTTCCCAGTCTGTGGGTATGTTGCTCTTAAATCTTGTACACAAGTGCCTACTTATTTGGAAGTCTCAGTATCTAGTTTGTCTTCTGTTTTTTATGTATTATTTATTATGTTTTTTCATGTAT